ATTCAACCAATTGATGATATAGAAAATTCAACTATTATTTATATGCAGGGTGGGTGTGGGTGTGGGTGTGGGTGGGTGTGGGTGTGGGTGTGGGTGTAGGTGGGGTGTGACTGTGGGTGTGGGTGTTGATCACTTCTCTTCTCAGACCCACACCCACCCACACCCACATACACCCATAACCACACCCACCCACACCCATACCCACCCACACCCACCCACACCCCACACCCACACCCATACCCACCCACACCCCACACCCACACCCACACCTCACATCCACACCCTCATTCGAACAATATTGCTATTGGAATGAATCGATTATCTAATGAATCGTCTCATTCTTGACGAATGTCATTCTGAGATGATTTTTCGGGATATCACTTTTTTTAGTTTTATATTAATCGAAGGAGGACTCATTGTATTATTATAACAGAGCTGAAGTCAGAAGAAATGCATGTTTTTATTAATTATGTTTTTGCAATTATATGAATGACTAAAATTTTTACAATAGTCAATTTTTTAATTTGTCTTAAAAAGTATGCATTGATTGTTTCTTTATACTCTTTTTTCATTCAATTCACGTAGACAAACAACGAAAAAAAAAGACGATTGGTTTATGAATTTATCGCGCACCTCTGCATGGCCTAGCAACTTTTCTTTTCTTTTTTTTATTGTTGAAGTACTTCTTATTGATAAGCAAGATAAATAGAAATCCGCTTAAACATAAAACAGTCGAACAACTGATATTCACGTGCACATACCATATTTTAAATAGGCAACTGCAAAGGTGATTGACATTAAAACCAACGAAATTATCACATCCGTAAATATTTGGTGAGAAATTTTAATTCAATCAGATTCATTCCCTTTCGAGATATACTGAGATTCAAACATTTCTAATGCTTACTTATCGACCTTGATTTTTGAATAGATTCATTTTGTTTCAAAAAATTTTTCATAAAGAATAAAAAATCATTTTTATTAGATATGCCTTCAGTTTAGTGTAGATTAGGAAGTAAAAGTCAAGAGAACAGAAAAAATGACATCTAGTTTTTGATCTCTATGATAATGTTAGTCTTACGGGAAAAGTAAGAATGTCTTGGTAATTAGAATTGTTTTAAAAGGTTTTTCAATAACTTTTCACTTCTCTATTTCTTATCAGTCGATATTATTTTGTTTCGAGATTTCTGCAGGCAATTGTCAACAGTCTCTAGAATCGACACTGTTCTATCTTTTTACAAAGTTACTGAAAATATCTGACTGTTTTTATGCTTTTATGCGTTAGAAATTTTCAAAATATTGGCTCATATAAACTTTTGACTATCATCTGCTTTGTAATATAATCCTTAATTTTTGGGGCTTGGTTTTCTATTAAGAACATCATCAAAACTTATGCGTTGAAGTTATTTTTAACAGAGTGAATCAATATTTCAACTAATTTCTTCTGACCTATGTTTTGTTTATGTTTTTATCTTATGAAATTAGTGAATCTATTTACTTGTTCACGTCCTAAAAACTTTTAATGCAAAACTTATACTGCAAAATCCTTTGATTTTTTTTAACGAAACTAACTACGGATTTTGGTCCTACGTTGATCGATATAGAACAGAGCTGCCAGCCTGACAGGCCACCAGGCCGTCTGCCAGGCCAGGCTGGATTTTGAAATTTTATCCTGGCCTGATCCGTCCATATAGTATTCGGCCTGCCTGCAAGCCAGGCCAAAGTTGTTGGCCTGGTCGTGATTTAATATTAATTTTTCTACTCATAAACTTCAAAGATATGTTAATAATTTTATACATGAACTTTCGTCTTTCATAACTGATGGGCGGTCTGTTAGAGTAAAAAAGAGTGAATGAATAAAAGAAAGAAGATAATAAGTATGAGTGATTTTATTTCAATAGATATAAACAAAAAAGCTACTTTTCAGTTGAAAGACAAAAATCTCTTCTTCTTTTTTCGCATTTTCTTTGTATTTAACAATTTATATTAAATAATGCCAACTGATGGTAGTTATGCTTTAACAACTCTTTTCTGCTTCCTCTATTTCAAAATCATCATATGTAAACCTTTTATTATCTGCTTCTTCGTTATAATCATTTGTCATTATCTAGTGAACTGATGGCTCATTCATTAAAACAAAAAAATCAGTGATATTATTGATAACGCTGCATCGCCAGCTATTGCCTCATACTGGTCTGTTGTTGGATTTTTAGTTAAGTTGAATAAAGAAACTGGTAGCTTTGAGGGAAGTTTACGTTATAAAGTTGTAGAATTTAATAGATTTGAACATTAGTTGGCCTGCAGGCCAGGTCAGACCAGGCTGCAGGCCACTTTCTTCGGCCTGGTCTGGTTTGCAGGCCGCTCATTTACTTTTAGTCTGGCCTGCAGGCCAGGCCAGACCGGAAAAAAGTGGCCTGTTGGCAGCTCTGATATAGAAGTTCGACTATCTATTCATTATAGTACCATTGAAAAAACACATTCTTTTCAAATCTCATGAAGGCCATCGAAAAAGCTTACAATGCATTAGACAAAGGAAAACAACTGGAAGTTTTTGTCGACTTTGTAAAACATAGATCAATACCAACTTTGCACAATTCTGATAATCAGATATATTTCTCGTTTTCTGGTTTAAAATTGTTCAGAAATGACCGTGACCATTTAACTCTGAAATGGGTATTTATCACACGCATTGCATTCTCTTTCTTCTGTATGTTAATATAGAATTTTGTCATTCCTTTTCTCTTCGATTACTCATGAAAAGAACTTTGTAGATTTAAACGGATTCAAATACCACTGTTTGGTGATTCACGTTCACACAGGTAGATGAGCACTATACTATGAGTAATATCAATAGAAAGAGAAGAGCATATGAATAAAAACTTTGGAAAAAACGAAGACTAAATCCTAATTTACATCATTCTCCTATAGGTATGAGCGTTTTACGCGTACAAGAAACAACATTGTTATCGAAAGTTAACGCCTGAAATCAAATCAGATATATATATATATATATATATATATATGTATATATACAACACTACGATATTCATCTAAGACGTATTGTCTTCTGTTCTTAACACATATCTATATTTTTGGGTTACTACTTTAATATTATATTACCTATTGCCAAAATAATCATGGATGAAGTTATCGTACGAGCAACGGATTCAATCACTAAAATATTGAAAACATCACTACGGCGACTTTCAAATCATGAAAAAACTTCGCTCATTGACGTTCATATAATTCTTAATCGATTGCTTGATCCGAATTCGTCAAGAAACGAGTGGAATCGACTATTTTGTCGACAATTAAAAAGATTAATGGATAGTAATGATTTGCTATCACAAGCCTTTTGGATTGAACTACGTGATGATATTCTTTATGTATTAGACAAACCAAATGATGAACCAAGTATGGATAGTAAATGGAATCGTTTTCTCAAAAGAATGAATTTCGAAGCAAGACTAGAACAACGTGAATTACAAATGAAACAAATTATAGGAGAACGAAAGAGTTTAAGTGAGTTATTTTATAAACATAAAGAGTTTTTCGAAGGATATCTTCAAAAGTGTATTTCTTTTCATTCTAAAGTGCAGGTGCAAGGTCTAGTGGAGAATATTGATGATCTTCTTTGCAGAGTGTACGGTTTAAAAGAACTTTCACTTAATTTGGAGAGTCGAAAGAATCTTGAGGAGAAACTAAAATGTATTGAGATACCAATCGATTCCACAAATAGATCATTACAAAGATTCGATAACAAACTTTTCAGCTATAATAATTCGTTTGAGGGAGTAAACAATAATCTTAGTAACTTTTTGCCATCCAAAAAAATGAATATGAAGTGGAGTGATTTACCCGAGATGATTGAGAATGTTCTTGAACTGAATCGATGGATTGTAATTCTTGGTGATCCAGGTAGTGCAAAGACCACTCTTCTTCGATGGATTGCTTATATTTTTGCTGAAGCAGCACGTCGTATCGAGAAAAAAGTAGATTTTCAGGAATACTGTCACATACCAGTTCGCATCCCTATTTTGATTCGAATCGGTGAATTTGCATCGTGGCTTAATCAACATCAAACAAAAACATTAATGGATTATATTGGTGAACACACTTGGTTTTCAGAACGCTATTGTGACGACGAAGGTAAAAGTGTATTAAAAGAGTTGATATATCATGGTCATGCTTTGATTCTTCTGGACGGGCTTGATGAAATTCCCGAAGTTGGACGAAGAGGCGAGATTGTTGATCTTGTAAAAAAGTTTATTGATGAATATATGCGAGCACCAGATTTCATCTCTGCATTTGACGAGAGAATGCTCGACCCAAGAATGCCATTTAAATATGGGAACGTCCTTGAAACGCAGCCACCGAGTAAATTTGGTGGCAATCAGATAGTCATCACCAGTCGCATTGTCGGTTACCAGTTTCATCCACTTAATGGTCCTTTCATTCGACATTATCTTTTGTTATTGTTGAATCAGAAAGAAGCAAACGAATTTGTAAAAAAATGGATGATACAGGCTGACAAAAGTATACGTGATATTTTACTAAACCAAGGAATTGCACTTGACGAAGCAACAGTGAAACCTTTGTATACAAAACGAAATTATATTGAGCAAGCATTGTTTGAAAACAGTTCAGAATTATTAAAGTCAAATCCCTTTTTGTTATCTTTAATTTGCATGTTTATTTTCCAGTCATCGATTGAATTTCATTCTAAATCTCGAATCGAAGTGTACTATCATGCTGTTCAGGCAGCCTTGCGGTCGTGGAGAAAACAAAAATCACACATTTCCGAAAGTGTTTTAATTGATTTTTTGATTGATCTTGCCATGTATCTTCATTCACAATCACCATCTGGCCTTATAGATGCATTTGATATCGAACATTTATGTTGTTTGAGTTTAAAACAACAGAGTCTATCAAATAATCGTACAAAACTTCGTGAATACGCAAAGAAAATAATATCCTTGTTGGAGTCCAATATTGCCATTGTAGCTGAGAGAGGTTTACAAACATTTGGTTTTCTACATTTATCGTTTCAAGAATATTTTGTGGCACAAGGTCTTGTCAGAGGTTCCTCTATCGAAGACATTGCAAAACTCATTCTTTCATTTACTATTAATTCTCGTTTTCGTGAATCACTTCTTTTGGCTGTTGGTTGGATTAGTTGGAAATGGCCATTTGATAAATATGATACATTTTGCAAATTACTTTTTACTCGAACTGAAAATCAATCTATTCCATTTGGAATACTTCTGTTCTTTGACGCCATGAGTGATATTCACAGATTGCCTTCGAACTCGGCCATTTTTATTGCACTCAACAATTTATTAAATCATTCATCTAATGAAATTAGGGGAACATACTTGATATCAAATTTGTCTAAATTACCTGAAAATATTACAATTGAGTGGATGAAATTGTATTTGAAAGATGATCAATGTCTTTCCAAATTTTGTCAATCTTTTCCAACGAATTGTGAAAAACTCTATGAATCAGAGAAGGATGATCGACAACCAATATCTTCTATTATTTATCAACAATTGTGGTCGTTCCACAATAGAAGTTCATCGATCGAATTTCTTATTGATCAAACCTTTCGAAAAACATTAATGTCAGTTGAAATACCTGATCAGATTTTTAACAAAGATTTAGCCTTGTATTTGTTGTCGCACAACATCAGTGCATCCAACATTCATCCTTTAATACTTTCTGTCATTATTGCATTATGTGGTGGAATATTTTTAAAACATGAGGATAGAATAAGTGAAATAGATTTCTGGCCAAAACAAATGCATCGTGAATCTTCTATCGTAGCCCCGATTTTAGAATATTTCGATAATAATGAAGGATCTCATCTGACTAAAGTTCACAAACTCATTAATCAATATGAGAATGTTCTCAAACAGACTTTATCTGCGGATACATCCGTTAATATTATCGATACTTTTATCGCCTTAATCTGTTTGCAAGGGCTTTCACAACCGTTGATTTATCAAAAGTACAATGGATATCAAGCATTACCACTGGCACTCGAAAGATTCAGACAGATATGGTTCTATCTCAAGGAATTATGCAAGCCTTCACGATTGGATTTTCTTACATTGTCTGACACATACGTCAACAGAATGACAATCGAATCAATCATGAAGATGCTCCTGTCGCAGTCTAATAAATCCAAACAACAACGCATGTCGTTTTCGACAGTATATCAGACTGTTTGGAAGAAACTTGGAGTGTGGGATCTGGAAAATTCGTGCCAGTTTAACATTTTTCGTAGAAACAAAGTCGGCCGATATGTTCAATGTCATCCACAATTTAGCCACTTTATCAGTGAGAGAAAGTTAGATGAACAAGTGGAGAATATTCATTCACTGAAAATGCTACAACATGAACCACTCTTTTTGCTGACCTTTCTACCACAATCTCTACAACAATTGTACTACTGCACAATCATCTCTTCAACCGATAAAACGAATTCATTACCACTAGTTGTGTTCTTATCACAGTGTTTAACACATTTCAAAGACATCGATAAGGAAGAATCTACCTTCTTTCTTGCCTTACCAATGTGGCAACCATTATTCAAAGAACATTTGTTGGAGAATTATGCTATAGGGTACTTTCAAGAAAAATATTCTAATAATGAACTTGTCAATACAGATATCTATCAGTTTTTTAAAGAAATGATAGATCCACATTTGTTCGATTCATTTCGTAATAATCGGCCGGAAGATTGGGAAATACTCATCGACATAGAGCGTCAACGTATATACGAATTGAAAACCGGTGTGAAAAGTCAAGAGAAAGATGTCCGACTTTTTTCTGCATCAATTTCTCTTGCTCGACTTTTTCAAGCTCAATATCGATGTCGAAAATATCAACGAATAAAAGAAACCAGTCTCTCTACTATCGAAAATAAAGAAGTGAACTTCGCAATAATGAATATATTCGATCCAGTTTTACGGATCATCTCATTGGGTACAATTTTAGATATGCAAGATCCATTGATTTTTGACGAAGAACAAAGAAATAAATTGCGATGGGAGATGATCAGTCTATTACAATCTTTGTTACCACGTCTCTCATTATTAGCATCAACTCTTTTATTTATTCAATGTCATACAGCACGTCAAATCTTTCCAGAACCCTTTCAATATATGGCCAGTGTAATCATCAACAAGTTCAGTTACACTTCAGTTGACAGACGATGTCGAGAAGAAGAAGAAGAAGCAGCATTCATTGCATTGCAACAGCTAAATAACTCAGATCTTTCACCTTATTTATTAGAATTCGCCAAGCGAAAGGAGAACATCTCTGATCTTGTTGTGCTCAACTCAACATTATTCTATCAGTGCTTTATCAACACAACATCATTTAATTCCTTAAACTCTGTTCTTCTTTCTTCCTTGTATCTAGTCGAGTTAGCATTTGATGCTGAGATCCTAAAAATGTATACTATCACCGCACAAAAGAATAAAATTTCGCCTTTGACAGAATTGAGAAAGTTGTGGGATGACTCATCGAAACATAATAAGGTTATGACTTTTCAAGTGGCATTGTGGATTACAAATTACTTACATCTGTCATCAAACAAAGAAGAAATTAATCAGATTATTGAAGACGTATCTCGTTGTTCAATGATCGAAAGAACAGCTCTTCCAATGATTGAGAAATGGCTCGATTATCGCATGAATAAAGATTTGAGATTTTTTGCACATTATGCTGCATTGCAATTAGTTGCAGAAGGTTCATATATTTCAAGTTTGATTGATATTATCGAGGAGATGTTTCTTATCGATCGTAAGTTTCGTCTGAAGTCTGTTGTGGAACGCCTATTCATCTCTCCACTTGTCAATTTAACTATTCTTGATCAAATATTAGTTATATTACATCGGAATAATCGTTATTCTTCGAAGATTTCTGTCTGGCTCGATCGCAAAGAAAGTTTAGAGTTCATTTTGAATATAGAACTTAAACGAATCACCACGGATATGCGTCAACCACCTGATATTCCAACCAAGCCATTTTTATTGATGATTATGAGTTGTTCAAAAGAGTTACAAGTCTATCTTACAGAACACCTTCGTCTATTTGTTAACACAGACAATGAAATTGAAAATAAAATTAAAGAAGAATATGTTGGTATCATTATTAAATGGATTATTGAAAGTTCAATTATACTTAAAACAAGAGAAAATTTTTCAGTAGAATTCTACATCTATATTTTCGAATTAATGCATGATCGACAATTTCCTCGGGTTCACACGACAATTGTTAATGCTCTTAATTCAATATTCTCACTTGAAAACATAAAGAAAGAGAATGTTTTTATGCAAGATGATATAGTTGTCAATTTAGAAAGAATAATTTCTTCGTGGTTTACATATACCGAAGATGTTGTAATTGTTTGTTTATTAGCTTATGGTAACTGTCTACTGACATTACAAAGATTTCACACAAGTCGAAATATTTCTGATGAGATAAAGAGTGTACTTATTAATCTTTCTGATACATCATCTTCAGAAATAATCTCTATCAGAGCTACTATTTGTTTAATTTTTGCAGAAAGCTCAGATATAAAGTTCAATACAATATCAAACTGTCTCAAAAACAAATGGAATATGACATCTCAAGAGAGATACAAATTATTGTTTCAACTAACGTTATGTCAACAGGCCAATATAATACTCGGTATAATGGAATACGAGAACAAACTTGTCGAACTCCTAGAAACACATTTTGCTGAGCTTATTGACATGTTTGTTGCTGATCTATACAACTATCTGTGCAACAAGGATAGCAGCAACTATCTTGCTGATTCTGTACCTAATTATGCTAAAATAGCTTTGTTACTCAGTAAAAAAAAATCTAACGAATTTTGTAATGCCGTGCGAAATAGTTTTTTTGGCGAAAATGAGTTCAAAAGAAAACTTAGTCTGCATTGCAAGCGTAATCTAGAAGATAGACAAACAGTAATAAAGCTTTATACGATTTTCGGTATAGTTACAATGGAATTTCTTGGTATGTTAGAATGCATTGATGATGACGAGGTGTCTTTAACGGATATCTACGGACAGTATCTCAAACAAGTGTCTGATCGAGATGTTATCGACAAGTTACTTCAACTAATAGATTTAACGATGTTAGAGAATCAGTTACGTGCTTTTTTACAGATTTTGCAATCTCTCGCTCAAGTTGATGCAATATCTTTGTTAGAAGTGCATCAAAGAACTTCAATGATCAAGAATATTCCTTGCGAGGATGATGTAACGAGACTCAACAATGAACATATTATTTTTCATCGGTTATCAAATCTTACTTGCTTTGAAATGGTTTGGCCACATTATGAAAAATTTTTCACAGAGAGCAATGTTGAAGAAGAATTTGAGAGAGAAATCTACTAGGAATTTCACAAAAATTTATTTGTATTTTTTTACAAGGAATTTTTTCTCTCAGCAACATTCATTCGATTTTCAATAATCCAATCTGGGATGATTGTCTTCGTTTTCCACCACACTCTTGCACCAATGCATATCTTTTTTTGTAAATGTGACCATGATTAACTGTCGTCAACTTTTAGATTTTTCGAATAAAACTTTCTATTAATTTCATTAGTTTTTAAACTTTTGTGTTGTCGTGATAGTAGATTATTATTTTACTTGATTTGAAAGATGGATCTAGACTGACATTGACTGTGATTAGATATTGTTTGTCTAGATTTGATTTTCACCTGTTCATAAAGTTTTTCAATATTGATTAAGGAAATTCTTGATAAAATTTGGATAAATTCTACTTTGAATGAAATGGAATTATTTTCCATAAAAAAATAAATTCGGAAAATATTGTCAAAATGTTGCTATTCGAATGAATCGACTACCTAACAAGGTATCTCATCTTTCACTAAAGTCATTCTCAGATGATTTTTAGTTTTCTGTTAATTACGTCTATGAATTTGATATTTATTTATTTCTAAGAATAGAATTATTTCCAGTAGTCAATAACTAAAGAAATGAAAGTAAAATTCTCAGTTCAAACATTCAACCTATATGATAGTGAAAATTGAGTCTGTATCGATGTTCCTATAATTGAAGCAAACTCATCGAACGCGTCGTCTTACCATTTATCCCATTAGAAGTGTGGTGACCGTTGCATCGCCGTGTATGCATTTGCTCCAGAGATGTGCATGACAGTGCGGCAGCGGCAAGTTCTCAACCGCGGTGGACATCTGTGTGATACATTATAGAAACAGCATGATAGAAAAATAAATCAAATTAATCATCAGTAGATATATTAGATATCTAAAAATAAGAGAATAATGGATGAAGTATTTATGCTGCAGGTAATATATTGAATGTTTTCACCAGTTACTATACACTAAAATTTAAACGATTAAAAATTCTTTTAAAAATTTTAAAGCATCCGTAATGGATTAAAATATGTAGTTTTCGGGATTTGTAAGGCGTTATTATGTGGATGTTGACTGTTTGAGTATTTTCTTGTGGACTCTTTTAACTTTTTTCTTTATAGAACAGCACGGAAAAATTTAGTTTCATCTTTTGAATCGTGAAAATCAAAAATAGTAGTTCAACTTTTTTCTTGCTTTTTGGGAGGGTATGGGTGTTTGTTGCAGACACATACCCACTTACCCACACCCACCCACCCACACCCACACCCACACCCACACCCACACCCACACCCACACACCCACACCCACACACACACCCACACCCACAACTACCCACACACACCCACAACTACCCACACACACCCACACCCACACCCACACCCACACCCACACCC